TTCCGTTTTCGAGGTGGTTCTCACCAATGACCTTTACGGATAATTAGATTTGCGGAACGTGTGATGGTACAGGGCACTAACTGCTTTCGGGCTTCTTGTGTTCCCATTCCGGCTCTGCAGTTGTCTAGCTCGGGCAATTTAATCTCTGTCTCGGTTTCTTTCATCTGTAAAATGGAGAGAATACTAAATGCCCTTATAATAATAGCTTGTTGAAAGGATGGATGTCAAGTCAAATTGCGTGGCACTATAGTAAGCACTCAGTGAAGGTCAGCTGTTATTGAGCACTTTTATACAGCGCCTTGGTTTAAATACAGAACTATCCAGATGCCGATGATCTCTGTTCTCAGAATGCCCCCAGCATGTGGAAGAGCTACAGTTTCTGGAGTAATGATTATTACCCCAATGAATAACAAAAATTATACCTAATATTTGTAGCATTTAAAAAAATAAACATGACCTCGTTTACTCTTTTTAAAACATTTGTTCATTTAAAATAATCTTAGAACACTGTTGTGTGCCAAGTTTTATTCTTGGTTTTGGGAATACAGCAGTGAACAAAACTTACTCTCACATTGTTGACAGTAAATATTTTGAGGCACAGAGTTGTTCATTGAAAAAAATTGCTTTTGTAGCTTGTGCTGGAAGCTATAGTAGGCATTAAGCATGCTTTAGTAAATGGGCAGATTGTCTTGTCCTCAGTTTATAGTCGAGGTCAGTGGTTCCAGAAGTGTGATCCTGGGATCAACGATATCAGTATTACCTGAGAACCTGTTAGAACTGCAAATTTCAAACCCACCCTAGACTTTGAATCAGGAGGTAGGGCCCAGCAAACTATGGCTTAATAGGCTCTCCAGATGATTCCTTTTGCACACTGAAGATTGAGACCCACTAGTCCAGGTTAGTAATTTGCCAAATTCAATTAACAATGTTGAGTGCCTGGCCTAAGCTGGGCTCTTCGCTAAGCATTCCACATAATTTATCCCATTTAACTCTCATATGAGCATAGGAAAGTTGATATCCTCTGTCTTGTTTAAGGTTGCACTCCTAGTAAGTGGTAGAACCTATATTCATAGTTTCTTGAGGATAGAGGCTGATGTGTTGCATTTTATTGCTTTCTGTATCCCCATTCTGGTTCTCAGTCTTGGCTGCACATTAGAATCATCTGTGGTGCTTTTAAAATGGCAGTAGTAAAAAAATAAATAAAATAAAATGGCAGTAGCAGGTACCAGACCAATAAAATCAGAATTCCTAAGTCTGAGGCCTGAGCATCATTATATGTATACATATATGCGTATATATATTACATATCATTCATTACACCATCATCTAATCCTATATGCTGTCTTATTTTAGGGAACAGTAGCTTTAAAAGTTTTCCAGGTAATTCTGATGTGCACTGAGGGTTAATTGAAAGCTGCTGGTATAGCAAAATGGCTCACATATAGCTAGCACTCAGTATATGTTTGAATAGTGAATAAATGGATATTTAGATACTCTTTTTACTGATGAGGTCAAGTAATGCCTAAGGTCACACAGCTAATAAATGATGGAACAAGAATCCAAGTCCAATTCTGACTCTATATCCCATGCGTTTGCTATGACTACTTCATACACTAAGGCAAACAGCATTTGGCACACTAGCAGAAGTTATTCCAGGCAACTCTGTAAACTTTGATAATTCCAGTTATAGCACCATAATGTTATGTTTTATAAAAGAAAGAGATTTCTTAACATAGGACACATTCATGTAATGGAAACCTAAAAATAAGTAGGGATTTTATTTTTAACATGCATTGACATGTTTATACATATCTGTCAGTGTTCATCTTTCCATGACCACCTATGTATTGTAAGAGATAACTTAATTCAAACATTTATTGAGTGCTATTTACATCAGTCATTGCTCTGTGGGCTGTTGATTGGTTGTTGCATAGTCCTTGCCTTCAAGTTTCTCACAGTCTAGGAGGGAGACAAGCATATAAACAAACTATAATAATGGCTGAGAACTATAACGATAGATATGTGTTGATCCATCTATTGCCCATAGGAAGGCCTATTGTATAGGTAGGGAGTCAGGAGATGGGAGTCAGGAAAGGCTTCTGAAAGAGACGACAGTTCAGCTGGGGCAGGGCTAATCAGAATTCCTTTACACTGTACCCAGCACTGCAATGGGATATAAATCTCCATTTTGATTAATAGGTAAATTCATGCAGAAAGGGGGCACTCTTTTGGCGGTAGCTTGCAAACTTGTGGGACAAACCCAGCCATTTCTCACTCTGGAAATAAAGCCCCTGATGCTGTCACTTTGAAATGAGCTTTGGAGAAAAGCAGTTGGAATTGGTCTATGAGCCTATAAGGGAAGGCACAGTCCTTGAAAGGGTGTACATGAGTTATAGAGCCCAGAGAGTTAGTACTCTGAGTCCTAAGTCAAAGGCCCATGCAGGAGAATGGGGGACAAGAGAGGGCAGAAGTGTTTGCTATAATTAGCTCTGGGAGTAATACAGCTGGGGGAGGGAGAAGAGTACAGCCGGCAACTATTTTGAGCACAACTCCGATTGACAGGACACGTGTGCTGGACTGTACTGATCCCAGGGCCAAGTTGCCTGTCCGTGGTGTGTGGTGTGGCGGGGAAGTCCTGGGGCAGCAGGAGCAGGACAGCCAGACAGACAGGCCGGACGGGGTACCAGCACCTCGACTTCTCTCCCTGGGACACTGCCCAAACTCCGAGGGCCATAGGCCAAGCTGAGCGATGGGTGCTGAGGAGGAGGTGCTGGTCACATTGTCAGGGGGAGCCCCCTGGGGCTTCCGACTTCAGGGGGGGGCCGAGCAGAGGAAACCCTTACAGGTGTCCAAGGTAAGGGAGAGCCCCTATACTGAGGTTTCAGGGAAAGGGGGAACCAGAGGAACCTGGGAAGAGTCATGTGGTGGCCTACGGGGGGTAAGTGGGAGGCTGTGGAGAAGAGAAGTGGGGGTGGGCAGGTGGGCAGGGAAGCATGCTGTTTTGTGGGGGGAGTAGTGTGAGCACAGGCTTCTCGTGTGGGGGGGGTGGGGGCTATTAGAAAAGAGAAGTCCTGCTTTCTGGTAAAAGGGAAAAAGAAAGACTGTCTCAGTTCCCTGTGGCACCATAGTAGCAGAGGCCCAGGTCTGGCCATCCAGTCTTTGATCTCCTGGGTCTGTGCCTCCACTCCAAATTCCAGGAATATAGGGAAGGTTCTAATTTCTCTCTAACTAAAGTGATATGTGATGAGCTGAGGCTGTCTAGCCTAGCCCAGCCCAGCCCAACCCAGCCCAGCCCAGCCCAGCCCAGCCCAGCCCAGCCCAGCCCAGCCCAGCCCAGCCCAGCCCAGCCCAGCCCAGCCCAGCCCAGCCCAGCCCAGCCCAGCCCAGCCCAGCCCAGCCCAGCCCAGCCCAGCCCAGCCCAGCCCAGCCCAGCCCAGCCCAGCCCAGCCCAGCCCAGCCCAGCCCAGCCCAGCCCAGCCCAGCCCAGCCCAGCCCAGCCCAGCCCAGCCCAGCCCAGCCCAGCCCTGCCCTGCCCTGCCCTGCCCTGCCCATGCCTTCAGTGCTTCTCTTCCCCTATGCCAGATCCGTTCTCACTAGGCAAGACTCTTTTTTTGGTGCTAGGAGAGTTATGGCAAGATCTGCCTGTCAAGTGAAGTTGTTACCCTTTTGGTTTCACCGTACAGGCTTAATTTTCTCAACTGTAAACTGTGGGTACCTACTTTATAGAACCATTCTAAGGGTTAAATGTAAGTATACATGTAGAATACTTAGTACCATGTCTAACATTTAGTAAGGACTCAATAAACGATAGCCACCACGGCACACATATACACACACAATCAGTCTCCCAGGACCTGCTAGACTCCCTCCAACCTTGAATACCATTCTAAAATCTTGACTATGTAGATAATAGTGCCTGGAATTCCAAGGCCTAGGAGAGAACTATTGACTAGTGTAGATATTGCTCTTAGAGGAAAATCTTGGAAAAATCACCATTTCTAGTACCTATCCACTGCAGTTTTTCCCAAGCCTCTTATTCAGTGATTGCCCTACTTCCCCTCATATAATGTATTACTCCCTTCACTCTGTACCTTCTTCCCTCTGGATAGGTCCCCTTAACTGCAGCCCCATGCCCCTCTCCACCCTTTCTTACACTGCAAAGTAAAATCTCTTCCACACATGGGTCCTTCCTGTCCTAACTCCTTTCATTCTATTACCCCTTGGAGCCCTCTCTCACCTATAGTCTCTCCTCCAACACCTCAGATCCGAAGACGGAGCCAGGCTGGCAGAGGAGGACTCCGAGAGAGGGACCATCTTTTGGCCATCAATGGAGTCTCCTGCACCAGCCTCTCTCATGCCAGTGCCATGAGCCTCATTGATGCCTCAGGGAATCAGCTTGTCCTCACTGTACGAAGGTATGGCCCCCTCCCACCTACCCCACTCCCATCCCCCTAGACAACGGCTCCCCTTGCCTGACTCAGCTTTGTGTCTCACTGGCTTGGCTTCAGCAACTAACAAGTACCCATTTCTGCTTGTGCATTAGTGCTGGAGTATAGATGTTAGTGTAGTCCTCCCAAAGGGCTTGAATGTATCTGTAATTATCTGTAAGGGATAGGGGTGTCAAATGGGTGCTTGAGTATGTGGGCCTCCTTCAAACCCTTGTCTGTCTCATCATATCTCCCTGTAAGCCCATTTCCACTCACAGCCCTCAAAGCACATTTGCCTACCAGTTTGTCTTCAGATCTCTACTCTACCCAGTCTGTCCATTCCACCTATATGCCAGTGCCCTCTCCTTTTACCTCCTTCTCCCTTCTCCCATCCCCTCTATATCTTTCTAGCTGTCAGTCATCCAGCCCATTTCTCAAGTTCTGTCATCTTTCCCATCCAGGGTAGAGGACGAAGGGCCTTTGCGATCTCCATCCCCTGGTGAGCTGCAGGTGCTATCACCCTTATCTCCACTGAGTCCTGAGCCCCCTGGTGCTCCAGTTCCCCAGCCTCTTCAGCCTGGGAGCCTCCTCTCACCTCCCGACAGTGAAGCTTACTATGGAGAGACAGACAGTGATGCCGATGGCCATGCCACCCAGGAGAAGCCCCGCCGACCCCGCCGCCGAGGCCCCACAAGGCCCCCCGCTCCAGGAGCCCCACCTGATGAGGTCTACCTGTCTGACAGCCCTGCAGAGCCAGCACCTGCTGTCACTGGCCCTTCCAGCCAGGGTGACAGCCGTGTGAGCTCCCCTTCTTGGGAGGATGGGGCAACCCTTCAGCCACCCCCAGCCGAGGCCCTGCTGTTGCCCCATGGCCCCCTCCGGCCTGGCCCTCATCTCATCCCTATGGTGGGGCCTGTACCCCACCCGGTGGCAGAAGATCTTACTACCACCTATACTCAGAAAGCCAAGCAAGCCAGTGAGTGCCTGAACCCTTTTTCCCTAGCCAGGATCTTTCAATCTGAGCCCTAAATCTATCCCTTCATAACCAGACTTTATGCTTCCCTTGGATGTAGTCTTGGGGATAAGTGGAGAAGAGTGATGAGTAGGAGGGAAAAATAATTTCGTGGTCCCCATTATTTCTGCTGTTTGAATTAGTGTGGCAAAAAGGTACAGGTTGTTCAAACTAACCCCGGAACAGGGAAAGTAGGGAAGTTGGAAAGGGACATGAATCAATGAAGAGTTTACTTGTTGTCATTGCTATGATTTTGCTAGGTGTCAGACATAGGGCAGGGGAATATTTGGAAGCAGATTATGGCTACAGGGGCTCTTCAGTGTTTGTTGCAGGGATAAAATCAGAGCTGCCTGTGTCACATTTTTAAGTTCAGTTAAGATTCCTGGGAGGCTATGAGATAGTCATGAGTCCCTAGGAAATGGTAGAAGGAAGGACAGATGCCGGTTTGAACGAGGCCCCTGTTGAAGGAGCCGTCTGAGTTTGAGTTCGGTGCCATACTCAGTGTTTAAATGTTTAAAAAAAAAAAAAAATCTCAATTAAAAAAATTCTTTGTATATCCTTTGCAGAGGAGGCCTCCATTCAGAATTTAGTTTTCAGGGATCTTCAGTTCCTTATCTCAGGCAAGAATGCAGGCGTGGGCAGAAAAAGCCAGTTCCACTTATCTCAAACTCTCTGCTATTTTTGATGTGAGCTACAGAACAAGGTCTAAGAGTGAACTTTCTCCCTGCCCTCTGTTTCCCAAGCCTCTCCCCGACAGACCTTTCTTGTCACCTGAGAAATCTCAGGATTACCCCTCTAGTTCTCATCTCTTGTTCCTTTCCTCCACCATTCTGACTCCTGATTCATAGAATTTCATGTCTCTAAGTCTGGATTAGAGGCTAAGGATGTGAAAGTTTAGAGTCTGACATTCCTGAGAGTGTCCAGTATAAAACAAAGAAATTCCAGATGCATGCCCAGGATCCCATGCTTATCCTCAATTCTCATTTTAGCACCCTCTCCCTCCCCATCATGCTGGGTGAGACTGTAGTTAGTGGCTTAGGGATATTTTTAGCCAAGCAGACCTCATTGTCCAGTGGGTAGGGTAGGGGGAGGGGTAGGCAGGTGCCCACGTCCATCACATCAGGTCTTGTGGAACAGGCAAGAGAAGGGAGGGGGCCAGGCTCCAAAAATAGCATAGTGATCTCATTCAGCTGCCAGCTCTGGGGACAAGACAAAGGGGCTTTAAAAGGCTTGGGGGGTGGCTCAAGCTGGTCCTGCTCCAGCCAACACTGCCTTTCTCAGCATGGAGACCTTTGAGCCCATCAGCCAAGAGCCTCTCAGCCAAGCCAGCTTCGACAAAGCCCCAGGCCCAGTTCCTGAGCTCCAAGACCCGTTCTATGCAGGTACTACCCTCCCATAGCCAAGAGAGTTCTGGGATCTAGAATGGAGGATAATACATCAACGGTTTAGGAAGGGAAGTCTTTGGGAAAGGTCTTAGTCCCTTACCTCTTCCTCCTTTCTGCCTTCCTCTTCCTTCTGTTCTAAGGTAAGTTTCAGGGCCCCTTTCTCAGAATGGGCTCATGCTATGGTCACATGTCAAAGGAGTTTGTGACCACATGATCTATAGAAAACTCATAGGGAGAGAGTGTGTATGCAAGAGAGATGTGAATAATTTAAGAATACATTAAGGCCTGTATGTGGAAGTGTGGGGGAGAAAATATGTGTGAACAAGTAAGTATCTGTATACATGTGTCGCTAGTGTCAAGAAAGCTTTGATAGTAATGGTTACTCACAGTGGGACTTAGGGGCTGCCATTAAATGCTAAATTTACCTGCATTATCTCACTTAATCCTCATAACAACCTTATGAGGTAGCTATTATCATACTTATTTACAGATGAGGAAATTGAACTTCAGTGAAGTATATCTCCCAAGACCCCAAAACCTAAACTGAACTCTGACTCCAGCACCTATTGCTTGTTCACAGTTCTATCCTGTGGTATAAATGCTGGGATGGGTGGAATGAAAGCCCTAATTAGAAGTGAGCTTGGTATCTTGAGTGGAAAGTAGATGGAATTTCAAGAATTTTTCAGGAGGAACTGGGGATCATGCATCAGAGTATCCATGTCCAAGGCAGGGTCCCAGCAGCAGGGCAGCCTCTCCCATTTCCTGGCCCCACCTCCCAGGCCCCACATGGCATGAGACGTCCTGCCCTGGCTCCCCTTAGTACATAGTTCTTTCTTGCCCGCCCAGTAGTGGCTGCCTGAGCTCTCTACCTAGAAGGCTGACCTCTGAAGAAGACCACCCCATTCCCATCCCCAACTGGGGAGAAAAGGTGAATATATTTAGCCATTGACCTTAAGGTATCCTTAAGATTTGGAGGGTTGTCTTGGAGAGCAGCACTCTGGCTTTTCCTGAATCCTGGATCTGAGGCTATCCCTAGCTGTGAGTAGCAGGGGTGTGAGGCACAGTGGAGTGCCCTGGCAGTTGAAAAGCCAATATAAGCTCTCAAATTTTGTCCAAACTGTTAGTAAAAGGGTCTGTGCAGGGGGAACTTTGGGAAGAAGGGCCACTTGAAGTATGCATGTGTGTGAATATATTCAAGTGACTCTTCTATGTGTTTTTGTGTGGGCACATATGTATTTACATACATGTGTGAACGGGGGTGTATATAAGCTCAGGTATACCTAAATGAGAGAGAAAAGCACATGAGAAAATATGCCCATTGCTGGCTTTTACTAGATTCATATTCTTGTTGAAATGATGTGTAGTAGGAGTTATTTCTGTGAATATATATGATGCAAACTGCATGGTAGGGGTGGAATTGTGAATGAAGATCTTCCTTGCTAACGGTCCTTTGTGTCCTTATCAAGAGGTAAGGGGACAAGTCCCAAACTTTCTGAGAAGTGCCCTAATGTGGTCTCTGTGGTAGGAGAAGTGTCCCTTCTCATCTTTTCTCTCCCTGGGACATGCTTCATCTTTCTGCCTGAGAAATAACCCCCCTAAACCCTACCCCTGTATTGCCAGACAAGAATGGAAGGAGGCAGGGGAGGAATGTTTGTGAAGTGGGTAAGAACACATCTCCAGGAAGATAGGATAGGAACAGAGTAGAGAGGGGAGAAGATAGGAGAGCTGTGGTCAGAGTGGTATCAGGGCAGCCAGCTAGACTCTGCCTTCCCTTCAACTGTCCTTGGTTTCACCTTTTACCCTCCTCTCTGCCCCAAAGTCTGAGGACTCTGCCACAGGCAGGAGACATTGTGAGTCAGGCCAGGGAAAAGACAAGAGGTGGGAGGGCTGAGGGAGCTGGCTGGGGTGGGGCTCAAAGACTTGGGGAATAGGAAAAAAGAGGCTCACTGACCATTCTCCCTCCTGGCCTCCTCAGAACTGCAACGGGCAGAGAGCCTCCAAGAGAAGAGTGTGAAGGAGGCCAAGACCAAATGCCGGACGATTGCATCCCTGCTAACTGCAGCCCCCAACCCTCACTCCAAGGGGGTGCTTATGTTTAAAAAACGACGGCAGAGAGCCAAGAAATACACACTAGTGAGCTTTGGGGCTGTAGCTGGGACAGGTGCTGAGGAGGAAGAAGACGGGGTCCCTCCTACGAGCGAGTCTGAGCTGGACGAGGAGGCCTTCTCCGACGCCCGCAGCCTTACCAACCAGTCTGACTGGGACAGCCCCTATCTAGACATGGAGCTGGCCAGGCCAGGCTCAAGAATAGCAGAGGGCCAGGGCCCGGGGCTGGGAGGGCAGCTGAGCGAGGCCTCTGGGCGGGGCGTCCAGCTCTTTGAACAGCAGCGCCAGCGCGCAGCCTCCAGCACCGAGGAGCTGGCCCGGGATGGTCCAGTAGCCATGCTCAATGGGCAGGGACTACAGTCTCCACCTCAGGCCCAGAGTGCTCTGCTGGAGGGGGCTGTGCTCTCATCCAGCCCTTCGCCGGCCCCTATAGCCAGCCCCAGACCCTTCCTCCCAAGCGGTGGAGCCCCTACTCCACCTCCAAGCATCTTTAACCGGTCAGCCAGGCCCTTTACCCCAGGCTTACAAAGTCAGCGGCCAGGTACCACCTCGGTTATTTTCCGGCCCCCGGCCCCCAAGAGAGCGAATGAAAGCTTGAGAAGTCTCAGCCCAGCCCCACCACCTTTCTCGTCCTCTCCTCAAGGGCCCACCTCTCTGCCCAGCTTCACCTCAGGGGTTCCCAGCCACATGCCAGACTCCAGTTCCCCCAGCACCCCACGCTCTTCGGGCCCCGTCACGGCCACCAGCTCCCTGTATATCCCAGCCCCCAGTCGTCCTGTTACTCCAGGCGGAGCCCCAGAGCCCCCCGCTCCCGCTAGCGCAGCTGCCATGACCTCCACTGCTTCTATCTTCCTATCCACGCCTCTGCGACCCACTGCACGCCCAGAGGTGCCCGCCCCGGGCCCCGCAGCCCCTGAGCCTCCCAGCGCTCGGGAGCAGCGCATCTCGGTGCCAGCTGCTCGCACCGGCATCCTCCAGGAGGCCCGGCGTCGGGGGACCCGGAAACAAATGTTCCGGCAGGGAAACGAGGAGCCGAAGAACTCGCCCAACCCCGAGCTGCTATCGCTGGTGCAGAACCTGGATGAAAAACCCCGAGCCGGGGGTGCAGAATCTGGTCCAGAGGAAGATGCTCTGAGCCTCGGGGCTGAAGCCTGCAACTTCATGCAGCCACCAGGGGGCAGGAATTACAAGACCCTGCCTCATATGACATCTAAAACCCCGCCTCCAATGGCTCCCAAGACCCCGCCCCCTACGACTCCTAAGACTCCACCCCCAGTGGCTCCCAAGCCCCCGTCTCGAGGGTTCCCTGATGGGCTGGTGAATGGAGCATCCCCTTCTGCTGGAATCCTTGAGCCACCAAGGCTTCTGGGCAGGGGTGGGGAGCTGTTTGCCAAGCGGCAGAGCCGAGCAGACAGGTATGTGGTGGAAGCTACACCTAGTCCTGGCCTTGGCCCTCGGCCCCGAAGCCCTTCTCCTACTCCCTCACTGCCCCCTTCCTGGAAATATTCACCCAACATCCGTGCCCCACCTCCTATTGCTTACAACCCTCTGCTCTCACCCTTTTTCCCCCAAGCTGCCCGAACTCTCCCTAATAAGGCCCAATCCCAGGGGCCTCGGGCAACCCCTAAGCAGGGCATCAAGGCTCTGGATTTCATGCGGCACCAGCCCTACCAACTTAAAACTGCCATGTTCTGTTTTGATGAGGTTCCCCAGACTCCTGACCCCACCTCCTCAGGGGCCACCAAAACTGCCCGAGTTCAGGAGATTCGCAGATTTTCTACTCCAGCACCCCAGCCCACTGCAGAGCCCTTGGCAGCCACTGTGCTTGCCCCCCGAGCAGCCACTACATTGGATGAGCCCATCTGGAGGGCAGAGCTGGCCTCAGCCCCTGTCCTTAGCCCAGCCCCTCCTCCAGAGTCTCCCAGGGGCCTCCGGGCCTCCCCCAGCTCCTGTGGCTTCCAGGTAGCCAGGCCTCGGTTTTCAGCCACCAGAACAGGATTGCAGGCTCACGTGTGGAGGCCTGGGGCAGGCCACCACTGAGCTCCCAGGACCAAGGAGAGGTGGAACAACACCCAGTTCCTAAAGTTGCTTCTCCTACTCAATCTACCCTCTCTCTCAGGCATCTGGAGTCTATATTCCCTCCTGCCAGAGATAGTTGTGGAGTTGGTGTACTATCCCTCAGCTTCCTCCTGGCTCCTGACCTCCCTGCTGCTTTTCAACCTAACATCTCTGCTTTGCTATTTGTGCTTCTCTTTGTCTCTGTGGTTCCTTGCCAGGATCTCGTTCTTTATCTCTAGGTTTCTCCACCTATACTCCTCCACTGGCCTCTATTTTTCTACGTTTGTGCTTTTCTCTGTGGGCCTCATTTTAATGTTCAATGAGAAGAATACAGAGAAGTTACCACTGAGACCTCAAGCAAGAAGCTTGCGACTAGGCAGGCAGCAAAGGAACTGAATTGACCCCTATTTGCACTAAGTTGCTTCCTACTCCTCACTCTTCTTTCCCAAGCTTGGCTGGCATATACCTAGGTGTGTATGTGCAAGTGTATATGTGCAAGCGTGTGTGTGTGTGCACAGAGATGCTCTTCTGTCTGAGGCAAGAGTAAGAGGAGAGATCTAAATAAAGACCCAATGTGGGTCTTACCCTTGTCTTGATCAAAAAAGGGTTAGATATTCCCACATGGATAGTCTAGTGCAGGGAAAAACATTCACTAGAGTTAAAGACCAGTGTCTGTAGCTGGTATGTAGCATCTTGTGAAACTCACAGAGTAGGAGAAGACATGAAGGGTCAGGGTGGTTTGTATGAGCTGAGTTAAACCAGCTAGACCAAGAATAGAACTAAGAATTCTATTTCTCAGGATTTCAGAAAGTTAGCAACTTGAGGGGCCCATGCTGAGCAACAAGCACGAAGGAAGTGAATAAAAAGAAAGAAAATTTCTTCTAAGAGTGAACAAATCATTGGCTTCATTGCCTCATGAATCTAAGACAGAAAGGAAACAGAGCCATAGTCTCGAAAGTGAGGCAGAACCAGGAGCAGAGCAAAAATGAAAAAAATTGATTGAGCCATAAAGAGCGTTGTGAGGGAGAGTGAAAATGCAGTGTTTGCAGAGAGTAAAGTTAGGTAACAAGAAACCAACCATGTACAAGAGGGGGGTTGGGGGAAAAATGTGAAGAAGAATGTATTTGTTCGTGTGAAGGGCCTGATGGTGAGAAGATGTGAGAGTGTGTGTGCAGAGTGTTGAAAGAAGAGTTGGTATCTGTGCTACTTTCTTTGAGTCTGTCCCTCTGTCTTCTGCAGCTTGTCCTGACTACCCGGGAAAGGGCAAGGAAACACCCAAAGCCAAACCTCTTTTCAGTTTTATCCCATCCTTCAAACCTTAGCTCCTGTTCCTTTCCAGTTTCAGGTCCCGATTTCTGATACTAAAGGGGTAGGGACTCCCCTCTCACCATGACTACCATAGGTTACATTTGCTGCTTGATCTGGAAATTGATCATTTCCTTTGTATATTGGGTGTGAGTCACAGTACTTTTGTTTGTGCACAAGAATAAACTTATACCCCCATACTTTTTATTGCTGTCATCTCTTATAGGTTTATACCCAAATCTGGATCTCCCCTTGATCTTCTCTGATTCCCCTGATCTTCTAATTGCTGATCTCTTTTTCCATTTCTGCCCTATTTTTCGCCCTTTTGCCCTTTACTCCCTGGTCTCTTGCTTTTCTCTGCCAATTCTGTCCCACTCCTACTTAGCCACTTCCACCACTCCCCTTGGTTCCATCTCCCCACATTTCCCATCCAGATTCTCCCCCTTTCAATCCTCTGCTCCATACTTCCCAAACTAGGCCTCAGCTTGTAGAACTAAGAGAAGTTAGAAAGGCCTTATGAGCCTTTTGCCATGAACATTTCCTAACTCCCTAGAGGAAGCAACCATTTCCATGGGAAAACAGTGGCTGGAGGTGAAGGTGGGGTGGGAGAGGGAAAAAAGAGAGAGAGGGTGGATAGTGTGGATTGAGGCTAATAAAGAAGAGAAGGTACTGGATGGACACTGACTAGAATTAGACTTCTGAGAATGAATGTGCCAGTGCTCTAGTATTACCAGCAGGGGGCATAGTTGTGCCAATAACCCAGATGCTTTCAAGTGCATAGAATCAGAATTCCAAAGGAAGGGTCCAGAGAGCATAGGCTAATTCTGTCTTCACTTACTTGGTAGTTTTAGGTACTCAATCACAGGAGACCAAAATTATGGTTTTTGTTTTTGAGGGGAGAATGGTAGTGATGACGAAGTCATTATTTGCTATTTTCCTTCTAACTGCTTCTTTGGGTTGGGAGGAAATGGAGGAAGACAAAAGATGAGGGATCTGGAGGCTAAACTGGTCTGGAAAGAGGCCAACTGGAGAAGGCAAGTAGAATTTTCAGCCCCTAGCCTGAACCTGAAAAGTTCAAGATGGGAAAATGGCATGGTAAAGAAGGGTAGAGAACTCACAGAGGGACAGAGGGGTATTCTGGGAGCTACAAAAACTGTTTCCAAAAGCAGCCACAACAGGGTGGTGGTGGCTGCAGCAGACATGCAGCGGCAGACATGCAGCAGCAGCTAGTTCTAGAATATGAGAAGGTAGAGGAGGATCCAAGGTGTTCATGGAGCTATTGAAAAAGGGGCTAGGCAAATGATATCCTTCTCACAAGGGATTTCTCAAGCTAGTGCCCCTGACCAGAGGCTTCTCTGGAACAATGCAAATGGGACAATCCAGATCCTATGGAATGTGTGTTCCCTTAGAAGAAAATCCCAAGTAGGAATCTCAGAGAGTAAGCCCTTGGCAAGTCAGAAGCCTTCATGCAATTCTCAGGGAGACACAGACATCTATCCTGCATAGTAGTCTGAACTGAGCATGCCAACAGCAAATGAGGGTGAAAAGGCAGAAATTAGTAATGTCTTCCCCATATCTTCTCTTACAGCCCAAGAAGCACTAGGTTTGGTTAATTTGGTCCCTTAATCTGCCAAGATCTGGCCCTCCCAAAGGAAAAACCAACCCACTTAGGAACTTTCAAAGAGTAGTTCCATTGTGAACAGACTTCCCTTCTCCAAATAGCACCTTAAACCCTCCCACCCCCAAAATGCACCCACGTCCCTCCAACTGTGGCCCAGATTGGCTCTGAGTGGCTCTCGGGACATGTTCTTCAGGTTGTCACTCTCCCGCTCTGAATTCCTATCTACCACTTGCTGTCTGCCTCCTTTCTCCCTCTCAGTTTTCAATTTCCCCCTAAATGCTTCTTTGGATCTCAGACCCTAGGTGCCAAAGGAAACGAAGTCCCTGGGTGGACTGATCCCTGGCTCAGACAGCTTAGTGTGAGAATCCCAAAGTCCTTCCCTTTATTCCTGAGCCTCTGGGTAAGGAGGGCGGGATCTTGGTTCCAGGGTCTCAGTACCCCCTGTGCCATTTGAGCTGCTTGCACTCATCATCTCTATTAATAACCGCCTTCCCTCCCCCACTGCCAGTGCTGCCCCCGCCTGAACAGCTTGGGTTCTCCGGTCACAGCAGCTCAGTCCTCCAAAGCTGCTGGACCCCAGGGAGAGCTGACCACCACCTGGGCAGCCGGTAAGTCTCCAACTCTATGACTAGAGGGGCTGGAGCACATTCTGTTGACTGCTGTGTTTGTGTGTGCAGTAGTGCCCCTTGATCCTGGGGTAGTTTTCCCCATCCCCTATCTCCGCTCAGCTCCCATCTGTCCAGTTCAGGGTTGATATAGAGAGTTGGAAAGAGAGGGGCCCTGGAGGGTGTGGGGAAGAGAGATAATGGGGGAGGCAATGGAGGATGAAAAGGGGGTCTTAGAGGCTGGATGGAAAAAAAGAACCTGGTTGAGGTTGAGAGGTACATGGAAAGTCCATTTAGTAGTTCCTATACTCTCACCTCAGCAGACCCTACTAAGTTAATAAAATTGCAGCTGTGTTGTGAGGCAGGACTCAGCAGAAGACGGCATTTTTGCTGAGTGCAACTTTTGTTAAGGAGGAGCTAGAGTCTGTATCTTTTCCCAGCTTGTCCCTCTCCACTGCCAGATACTATTATTATGTTCTTGTCCTCCATCAATTCCCCACTGCTATGATATTGCTGAGTTGACATATGTCAAGGTTCAAATGTCCCCTGACACCCCACCCCCTCCACTCCAGTTCTGGGGTCTGGGGCAAGAGTGACTGAAACGGAGCAGGAAGCATTGCTATGACCTCCCAGGCCATGTTCCAGCTGGCCCAATGGAGAAGCAACATCTCCTTCTTAAGGAGAATGTTTTTGGCTGGATCTCCTCAACCCTGGCAGAACACTTTTCTGCCCCTAGCCCTCCCCGAGATTGGGGAAGACTGAGGAGAGACCAAAGCTTAGAATGACAGTCCCAATCTGAGATCTCCATGCAAATAAAAACTTCAAATCATGCCAATGAAATTTGTCTGTATTGCCCTGCCTGTATGTTATTTGTTTGATTTACTCCCTGCCTCCCAAAACACTCTGTGTTCCTAATCTGCATACCAGATCTGTAAAACAGCTTCAAGAGGTTGGTAGAAGGCATGGGCAGGGGATGCATTTATAATTCTACACTGTCTCCAAGGAAAAGAGAAGCCCTAAAGTAATAGGCTTTCACCCTATGAAGGAATGTATATTTCTTTGAAAATCTAATGAAATTTTGCTCCCTGAAGCCCTTACTCCCAGGTTAAGCAGTACTGCCTTACTATAGAAACTTACCCTTTCCAGTCACTGTCCATCTTCCAATTCCCATCCTATCCAGGCTGAATCCACCTCCACAATGCCGCTCTCAGGAACCCCAGCCCCCAACAAAAAGCGGAAATCCAGCAAGCTGATCATGGAACTCACCGGAGGTATGGCATGTTTGTACCTACCTATTGTGGGACTTCTCATTAAGAGCATCTCTGGCCCAAGAATCCCAGAAGTACCATAAGGTTATATATGTCTTAGGGTAAAGAGACATGCATGAGACGAGGAATTCAGGGGTTGGGTGGGATAAAAGACGGCAGCGGTGGTGCAGGGAGAAAGGATGCAACACTAACTACTCACCCTTCCACACTTTTCACCTTGTAATCTGAGACAATAATACTCAGCCCAGGTCCAGGGCAATAGGGCCCACAGGTCAGTGAGGTGTGTTTAAGGAAGAAAACATATATGATGGAGATTGACACAGAGTGTTTTAATAAATGGTTAATTTCCTTCTTTCC